AGGCAGGAGAATCTCTTGAACCTGGGAGGCAGAGGCTACAGTGAGCTGAGATTGCGCCATTGCACTCCAGCCTGGGCAACAGAGCGAGATCCTGTCTCAAAAAAATAAAATAAATAAATAAAAATGTTGAGGTGCTACCCCTGTATGTCACAATTTTATAAAACTGTATCTAGTTTCTGACTTAAGGGCTTATTGGTGTCTCCGATTTTGGCACAGATCGTTGTGACAGTTTTAGAATAGGAAGATCAGGTTGGTCTTGATTGCCCTGAAACCGCAGCTACAGGAAAATGTGAAGACCTTATAGAGGTGGTTTCATCTCTAAAAGGTAACGGTCCTGAAACAGGCTCTGGGGTATTCTCATGAACTATAGCTACCCTTAGAAACGACATGGTTCCAGGACAAGGGATATAAGGCAATCCGTTTTACTAGAGTCAGCCAAGATTGAAGTAATAATAGAAATTTCATGTGCCCTGTTCAGTCTGTGGAAAATAGTGCAAAAGTTTCCCTATAGACACCAACCAGAAGCCCTACTCAGAGCCAAAGCCAACAACTGGAAACAAAGATGCCAAACCCTTATTTCCCTCTCTGTGTTGTTCTATTTTGTCTTTTTTACTTTTCCCTTGGCATTTTGAACTTAGATGTCAGCCCTGGTTGATATAAAAGCATGAAGCTTTCCTGCTACAGCATATTCAAAGACAGTGCCATTGAAGACAGTGACCATCTGCATGGGTAGGAGGATGCTGTGAAGAGCAGTTATTTCCACATGCATGTAAATGAGGGTTTTCCAGGAGTATGAAATAATCATTTTTAGTTTAGTTTTCAGTTCATGTGCAATCTGGCTTAACTGGCCTATATTCAGGATATACTGATTATGTAAATTTTTTTTTTTTTTTTTTTTTTTTGAGATGGAGTCTTGCTCTGTCGCCAGGCTGGAGTGCAGTGGCACAATCTCCGCTCACTGCAACCTCCACCTCCCAGGTTCAGGTGATTCTCCTGCCTCAGCCTCCCAAGTAGCTGGGACTACAGGTGCCCACCACTACACCCAGCTAATTTTTGTATTTTGAGTAGAGACAGGGTTTCACTATGTTGGCCATACTGGTCTTGAACTCCTAACCTCAGGTGATCCACCCGCCTCAGCCCCCCAAAGTGCTGGGATTACAGGTGTGAGCCACCACACCCAGTTTATTTATTTATTTATTTATTTATTTATTTATTTATTTATTTATTGAGATGGAGTCTTGCTCTATCACCCAGGCTGGAGTGCAGTGGCACAATCTCAGCTCACTGCAGTCTCTGCCTCCCAGATTCAAGCAATTCTCCTGCCTCAGCCTCCCAAGTAGCTGGGGTTACAGGCATGTGCCACCATGCCCAGCTAATTTTTTTGTATTTTTAGTAGAGACTGGGTTTCACCATGTTGGTCAGGCTGGTTTTGAACTCCTGATCTCAGGTGATCCACCTGCCTTGGACTCCCAAAGTGCTATGATTACAGGCGTGAGCCACCGTGCCCAGCCACTTTTATGATTTAAAAAAAAAAAAAAAAAGTGTATGTTCAAACAAATAAATTAACAAAAGAAATATAAGCATGAATTTGCTCATAAATATTTCCCATTTCCTGACCTTCCTATAATTTGTTTTTCACTTAGGTTTTTAATTCTAATACAGAGAGTACCAGGCACATAGGAAGCAAACAAAAAAATATTGAAGTGAATGATGTCATCCATGTTGAGTCAAACATATTATTATGTATATAATTACTAATAGCATGAATTAAATTAATACGACAGAGAAATGGTCAAAAATAAATAAATACCATGGCTGGTCACAGTGGCTCACCTGCAATCCCAGCACTTTGGGAGGCTGAGGCGGGCAGATCACTTAAGGCCAAGAGTTTGAGACCAGCTTGGACAATATGGCAAAACCCTGTCTCTATTAAAAATACAAAAATTAGCCAGGTACAGTAGTGCAAGTCAGTAATTCCAACCACTAGGGAAGCTGAGGCAGGAGAATCATTTGAACTTGGGAAGCAGAGGTTGCAGTGAGCCGAGATCACAGCACTGCACTCCAGCTCGGGCGACAGAGTGCCAAAAACAAAAACAAAAAAGGCCGGGTGTGGTGGGTCACGCCTGTAATCCCAGCATTTTGGGAGGCCGAGACTGGCGGATCATCTGAGGTCAGGAGTTTGAGACCAGCTTGGCCAACATGGCAAAACTCCGTCTCTACTAAAAATACAAAAATCAGCTGGGGCATGATGGCACGCACCTGTAATCCCAGCTCCTCGGAAGTCTGAGGCAGAGGAATCACTAGAACCCAGGAGGCAGAGGTTGCAGTGAGCCAAGATTGCACCACTGCACTCCAGCCTGGGCAACAAGAGTGAAACTCTGGCTCCGAAATACACACACGCGCACACACATACACACACACGCACACACACATCAGCATCATAAGCATAGTTCATTCCTAAAGGAAAAGATCACCCCCAATTTGAAAATGTTTCTGGGCTCATGATCTTGCTTTTCTTAGCTCATCATACATATGCAATGTTTGGCCGCCCTGTACATTAATCAGCCCTTACGACATCCCTATGAAATAAGTGGATGAGGAGTATCATTAGCTCCATGTGGCAGACGGGGCAAACCAAACATGTGGAAATTAAATGACTCACCTAAAGCCACCAGAAGCCAATGGAGGAACTGAGATTAGAGCCCACAAGCTTCTACTTTCTGTGCAACCAACCCACAGTCCCCCAGTGGGAAGCTGAGCTTGCTCCCAGATTGCCACCTGAGACACTGGTCCCACTTAGTCACTAATGAGCAACATCCTTGCTCTGGGTGCCAGGGTGGAGAGAGAAGGCACCCGAGTCGTGTTTTCTATCCTCAGAGAAAGAAAAATATCTGAACACCTTTAAACTTAAGTTTATTTTTCCCTTCTCAGTATGTAGATACATAGTAAGCAATTTGAGAAGGAGCTTTATCTTAAAGAAAGATAAGAGATTAAAAGTGCAATTGCAATGGGCTTTTCTCAGATTAAAGGGATCTAAAACATTTCTGTGCAATGAGCTTGAAATAAAGTTCAAATTCAGTTCATAAGCTTATCTCCAAATTTCATTTTTTAAAGTACCTCAAACATAAACTCCACTCAACTTGATCAAAAGCCTCTCCTGCTTCAAGAGACAGAGCAACAATCAGCCCCCTTGTTCATTTAGCCAAGTCAGTGTTCTTAATCAGCATGAAAAACAGCAGCAGCCAATGGGTGGTTTTTTAATAAAAAGTGGTTTGATGAAGCTCCAGGCTGGTGGCAGCATTCTCAGCCCAGAAAAATACAAGTCGAGTCCTCAAACCTGCAAACAGGCCCAAGAATGGGGACCCACTCCAATAGCTGGTATTTCTTCAAGCCTCAAGCCCTCTGTTGTGTACTAACTCCACCTCGTCTCCCTGCCTCTCCCTGCTCATCTCCCTGCCTCTCCCTGCTCATCTCCCTGCCTCCCCCTGCTCAGCATTCCACATTTCCCACCCTTGTTTGGATCAAGGTTCAGTGCCCCGTTTCTCGCTCCCAGAAGTATGTCGTTTGGAGTTTTCTTCCCTTCCCTTCCCTCTCTCCGCAATTTGGTGCTAAAGCCTTTAGGTGGGGCAGAGCAGGATAACATCTGTGACTCATGAGGGAAGCCACCGTGGTCCAGAGCTGGGTGTTGAAGCCCCAGCAGGGTGAGAAAAGTGTCTGCACAGGAGGGCTGCTTGCTGTGTGGTGTCACAGACTGAACAGGATAGGACAGTGTTCCTGCAGGGGCAGCCTGGCTTGGGGTGGCAGAATCCCAGTGGAGTGAAGAGGGTGTCCCCATGGAAGGGTGGCTGGGTGTAAAGTTTCAGAGTCCAGGCAGAGTAGGAGGACATTCCCAGGATAAGAGAACAGAAGGGGAATAGGACAATAGTTACACAGAGGAGATTAGTCAAGTAAGTAACTTATTAAGGATAATGAAAGCCAGGTTTCTCATTGTTGGAAAAGGGAGTCACAAATATTGAAACAGAAACCTGGAATGAACCCTGTAGTTGTCCAGTGGAAATTGGAAGCTAAATGATGCTATAGTCTTCAATATATTTGTATAGATATAGGAACAAATATAGAAATGTGTGCATGCATACATACATACATACTGTAGAAAGTAGAATAATAGACCCCCCCAAAGATGCCTGCATCCTAATTTCCAAAACCTGTGAACATGTTACCTTACATGGCAAAAGAGACTTTGCAGGTAAGATTAAGTTAAAAACCTTGAGATAAGGTTATCCTGGATTATCTGGGTGAGTCCAATACAATAACAAGAGTCCTTATAAAAGGGAGGCAGAGGGTGGGCACTGTGGCTCACATCCAGCACTTTGGGAGGCCGAGATGGGAGAATCACTTGAGCCTAGGAGTTTGAGATCATCCTGGACAACGTGCTGAAACCCCATCTCTACTAAAAATACAAAAATTAGCCTGGCATGGTGGCGCATGCCTGTAACTCCAGCTACTAGGGAAGCTGAGCTGGAGGATCACCTGAGCTTGGGAGGTAGAGGCTGCAGTGATTGCAGCACTGCACTCCAACCTGGGCAATGGGAGTGACACTCCATGTAAAAATAAAAAAAAAGAGGGAGGGGGGTCAGAGTCAGAGAAGGAGATATGACAACAGAAGCAGAAGTGAAAGAGACAGATGTTAATTTGAGAATACTATGCTGTTAGCTCTGCAAATGGAGGAAGGGGCCACAAGCTAAGGAAGGTAGGTGGCTTCTAGAAACTGGAAAAAGGAAGACAAGGGATGCCCTCCTAGAGTTTCCAGAAGGAACAGCCATGTTGACACCTTGATTTTTTGGCTTCTAATCTTCAGAACTAGAAGATGATGAATTTGTGTTGTTTTAAGCCGTTAAGTTTGTAATACACATACTGTTATATTGGCTAGTTCTGTCCAGTGAGAGCTCTTGAGAGATGCAATACCCCAATAGCAACGAGCACACCTAGCTGATAAATACCTTTCTCCATTAAAAGGAACCATGGCTCTTCAGAGGAATGGCTGATTCAGGTCTGAAACAGAGAAAATACAAGACAAGCCTGGAATATATTTTCTTTTTTCTTTTCGTTGTTTAGACAGAGTTTCACTCTTGTTGCCCAGGCTGGAGTGCAATGGCACTATCTCAGCTCACCACAACCTCCACCTCCCAGGTTCAAGCAATCTCCTGCTTCAGCCTCCCGAGTAGCTGGGATTACAGGCATGCACCACCACGCCCAGCTGATTTTTTATTTTTAGTAGAGATGGGGTTTTTTCATGTTGGTTAGGCTGGTCTCGAACTCCTGACCTCAGATGATCTACCACCTTGGACTCCCAAAGTGCTGGGATTACAGCCATGAGCCACCACGCCCGGCCACCTGGAATATATTTGCATGTCAGAAAGCAAGAAATTATCAGCATGGTGAGGGCTTGTCAAAAGGACACAGGAGTCAGCTTGAAGAGGCTGCCATTGGACAAATGAGAGACAACTTGCATCAAAATAAATAATACGAGTAATAGATTATAAACCATTGAATAAAATAGAGACACGAGTCCCTAATTAAATAAATTAACAAGTAAAAATTAAATGTTTGTTTAAGAATGGGACATTTTCAGATGATGGGTGCACCAAAATCTCACAAAGCACCACTAAAGAACTAAGGCATGTAACCAAATACCACCTGTACCCGAATAACTTATGGAAAAAAATTTTTTTTAAAAAAAAGGACATTTAAGACCAGGCCGGTGGCTCACACCTGTAATCCCATAGCTTTGGGAGGCTAAGGTAGGCAGATTGCTTGAGCCCGGGAGCTTGAAACCAGCCTGAGCAACATGGTGAAACTCCTTTTCTACTAAAAATACAAAAATTAGCCAGATGTAGTGGCATGTGCCAGTAGTCCCAGCTACGCAGGAGGTTGAGATGGGAGAATTACTTGAGCCTGGGAGGTCAAGGTTGCAATGAGCACCACTGCACTCCAGCCTGGGCGACAAAGCAAGATGCTGTGTCAAAAAAAAAAAAAAAAAAGAATGGGACATTAAGCTGGTTTTGAAGTATCACTCCACAAAATACTAATTAATTATTATACAAAAGGAAAGAAGTAGCTTTATAACAAAACAAATTGGCAGATAACATTTTAGTCAGGTGATCAGAGTGAATATTGTCAGTAATGGAGCAAATGAAAATAGTGTGCCAACTGATATGATGCAATGAGGAAAACACAGCATCCCCTCTGTGATATTCCTGCCAAAGATACACAACCTGAACTTAATCACGAGAAAACATCTGACAAAACCGAACTGACAGGCATTATACAAAACAACTGGTCCATATTTGCCAAAAGTTTTAAGGCCATAAAGCCAAGTAATATAACTGAGGAATTTCTCCAGACTGGAGAAGATTAAAGAGACATGACAACTAAATTGTCTGATTCTGAACTGAATCTTTTTGCTCTAAAGGCATTTGGCAAAACTTGAATGTGATCTGAGTATTAGATGGTAGTAATGTATCAATGTTAATTTCCTAATTTTGGTGGTTGTATTGTGGTTATATAGGAAAATAAAGTATTGAGGTATTATGAGGAATCAGGTTGGATTGGCAAATTACTGTCATGGTTCTGGAAAAAGAATTATACTGTATTTATAACTTTTCTGTAAATTGGAGGATATTTCAAAGATTTTTAAATATATATCATTAGGTCCCAAATCCTTTTCTTACACTATCAGTAAGTCTTCTCCCTTTAACCATTGATTCAGTTCTGTTAGTAGAAATGGATATTTCTCATTTTCTCCGGAATCAGAGCACCTTCAGGCCAGGCAACTTAATTGGAGGATGACCAGAGCCTGGGGATGACCAAAGTCTGGCAGGAGTAACCACAGCACTGATTGAATACTGGGTGGTGGGAGATGGTGAGGACAGGTAGGAGAAAATGGTTTTCAAAGGCTGTCAGAATGTTCTTGCTTCACTTTTTTATTTTTTTCGTTTTGAGATAGAGTCTTGCTGGGATGCCCAGGCTGGAGTGCAATGGTGCAATCTCAGCTCACTGCAACCTCTGCTTCCCAGATTCAAGCGATTCTCCTGCCTCAGCCTCCAGAGTAGCTGGGTTTACAGGCGCGTGCCACCACACCCGGATAATTTTTGTATTTTTAGTAGAGATGGGGTTTCACCATATTAGCCAGGCTGGCCTTGAACTCCTGGCCTCAAGTTATCCACCTACCTTGGCCTCCCAAAGTGCTGGGATTACAGGCATGAGCCACTGCGCCCACTTTTTTTATTTCCTAACATCTGATTAAAATACCCAAGTCCACTGTGGAGTGTCAAGAGGAAAAGTTGAGTATCATCTGTTAGCGTGTTTGTTTTATAATCAATTTAATCTCTCCGGGGCAATCTATTAGAAAAAAGGTAGACTGACCTAGTTCTTAGACTGTCACTGATTCTAAACCCCAGCTCTCCTTTTCTTTAGCTTTACTCAGCAGATTAATCCTATTTCACTTGTGTATTTATGTGAACACACAAATTTGCAGCCCTTGGGCTGTACTCAGACAAGCCCAAGTTGATATTTCAGGATTCAAAGAAATCTGGTATGGTGCAAAACACAGTTTGCAGTAGAAATCAGACTTGTCTGTGCCCAAAAGGTGCCAAAAACATGCCACCTATTAAAATACATAAATGTCGTGTCAAAAAAAAAGCTATAAAAGATAGTTTGGGGACAATAAAGACATATAAATACGGACCCCATGTTGGAAATCAGGGAATGTTTTCTTTTTTTTTTTTTTTTTGAGACGGAGTTTTGCTCTTGTTGCCCAGGCTAGAGTGCAATGGCGCGATCTTGGCTCACTGCAGCCTCCGCCTCCTGGGTTCCAGCGATTCTCCTGCCTCAGTCTCCCGGGTAGCTGGGATTACAGGCACGCATAACCACGCCTGACTAATTTTTGTAATTTTAGTAGAGATGGGATTTCACCATGTTAGCCAGGCTGGTCTTGAACTCCTGATTTCATGTGATCCGCCCAACCCGACTTCTCAAAGTGCTGGGATTACAGGTGTGAGCCACCGTGCCCAGCCAAAAGAGACTTTTTGAGAATTGTAGATGTCATCCTGTACTGCATACATTTTGGGAAGAATTTAGCTGTTTTTTGCCTATACCAGGTTTTTTCAGAGGGACTCAAAATCATTATGCTCCTACTTTTTTTTTCTTTTTTTGCGACGGAGTCTTGCTCTGTCGCCACACTGGAGTGCAGTGGCACAATCTCGGCTCACTGCAACCTCCGCCTCCTGGGTTCAAGTGATTCTCCTGCCTCAGCCTCCTGAGTAGCTGAGACTACAGGCGTGTGCCACCATGCCCAGCTAATTTTTGTATTTTTAGTAGCGACGGGGTTTCACCATATTGGTCAAGATGGTCTCGATCTCCTGACCTCATGATCTGCCCGCCTCGGCCTCCCAAAGTGCTGGGATTACAGGTGTGAGCCACCGTGCTTAGCTTTTTTGCTTTTTTTTGAGACTCGTTCTGTCACCCAGGCTGGAATGCAGTGGTGCAATCTCGGCTCACTGCAACCTCTGACTCCTACTTTTTTTTTTTTTTTTTTTTTTTGAGTCTTACTCTGTCACCTAGGCTGGAATGCAGTGAGCAATCTCGGCTCACTGCAACCTCCGCTTCCTGGGTTTAAGTGATTCTTGCGTTTCAGCCTTTGGAGTAGCTGGGACTACAGGCGTGTGTCACCACACCCGGCTAATTTTTTTTATTAGAGACAGGGCTTCCTTGCATTGGTCAGGCTAGTCTTGAACTCCTGGCCTCAAGTGATCTACCTGCCTCGGCTTCCCAAAGTGCTGGGATTACAGACATGAGCCACCACGGCCGGCCTATGCTCCTAGTTTTAAGACTTAACATTTAGATATTTTATGGGTATATTCCCTTCATCATCAGTACATCTAATACAAATTCTCTCTTCCCTGAAGGTAGGTGGGAAGTTAGATGGGGTGGTTTCCCTTCTTTTTCCTGCCAGTTAAAAAAAGCTTCTTATTTCCAAAGCATGTTGACTGTGCCTCCCAACAGATCTCAGTGCCTTTCACAAGGCCTTTGCTCTTCTGCCTGCCCATAATACTCAGACAGACAAAAACAGATAATCACACACATAGGTTTCACTTGCCATTCGTGGCCCTCTTCAGTTGTCACGTCCTGGCTCCCCCGGGCACAATTAATTGCTTGGTTTCATGTCCTTGTAGCAACAGTTACCACTTTGTTAATTCACACATATGTTCATCTGTCTTCCTCATAAGCTCTGAGCTCTTCAAAAGGAGGAACCATATATTATTTACTTTGCACAGTGACTAACACATAGTAAGTGCTCAATATAAGCTTGTGGGTGAAAGAATAAATAAGAGGATGAGTAAATGCCTTTGAGCTGGGGTCTGGGGAAGATCTAATGACTTCTAAGACCATGGGGGCTATCAGCATTTCTACTATCCCCCTTCAGATCCTGATACTCAACCTTCAGATCTTGAACTTAATGCTATTGAACAGCAGCCACTCCGCATGAAATTAAAACAAAAAAAAGTTAGAAGTATTTAAAGCCTAGGCCTTTTTTTCCTACCAAATTTCTCTTTTTTCACAGCTTGAAAATTAGAACTCTAATAGCCATGCAGAACATTCATCAAACGCTTCCACGGGATGATAAAAGTCACAAAATATTCACAGGGCACATATGGACCCTCCAGACAGTTGGTGTTGGTGACCAGGTAAAAGTATTAAACTCAGAAAAATCCATCTGGAAAGACAGGCATTTTAAAAATTATTATTATTATTATTTGAGACAGTCTCACTCTGTCACCCAGGCTGGAGTGCAGTGGCGTGATCTCAGTTCACTGTAACTTCTGCCTCCCGAGTTCAAGTGATTCTCCTGTTTCAGCCTCCCAAGTAGCTGGGATTACAGGGGCCTGCCACCACACCCGGCTAATTTTTGTATTTTTAGTAGAAAGAGGGTTTCACCATGTTGGCCAGGTTGGTCTCAAACTCCTGACCTCAAGTGATCTGCCCACCTCAGC